ATCGAAGGCCGTGGTGATAAAACGCTATGTGGCAATCAGAGAAGTCGAGTCCCCCCCCCCCCCCCCCCCCCTCGCCCCCCCAGCAGCCTAAAAGAGCGATAGTGACGAGAAGGGCTGGGGGGAGTGCCATCAAAAAAGGAGTGGTGGGATTAGGTCTGAGAGAGAGTTTACTACGGTCTTTTTGTGCGCCGAACCTGCAGGATTAGAGATAACAAATGTTAGCCGAGGAGGGGCACCTGCTGTGAGGCGAGAAGAGGAGGAGGAGGAGGAGAAGAAGGAGCTAACCCCGCTAAAACAGCAGAATGGGCTTTTGTTGCCCCGTGCAGGATAAGAGGGATGGTGGTTGAAGGGGGAGGAACAGGGGAGGGAGGGCAGAGGAGTGGACGGAGCGGGTACAAAGTAAATTCTGTAATTGTCAAACAGATGAAGGAGCTGCAGAGCTGATGGAGGAGTAAACATTCAACTTCCTAATCTGGACCTCAAAGTGACTCCCAAGACTTTCTCCGGTCCCTCCTGAACCGTGCCTCTCCCGCTAGATCAAACATCGTATTAACAAAAAAATAAAACATCTCTCCATATTTTCATCTGATTTTCATCCTCCTCTTTGTGTCTCTTCCACCTCTCTCCTTCACGTCTTCTTTCCCATCCACAGCTTGTCGGTGCGTTTGGTTAAAAATCACCGCTGGAGCCTCGAGATCTCTGTCTGCTCTCCACGACGACCCCCAGATCAGGAAGCACTCAGACTGGTCAATCAACAATTAAAAGCCTGTCTGTAGCCACTAACTCGATTCAGCCACTCAGCTTAGTGGCCCGTTAGAGCCGTGGCTCCCAGACAGAACCCAGACAACAACGCTGACCCCTCCACACACACACACACACACACACACACACGCTGGTCACTCCTGCAGGCTCACTTATGTTTGAACCTCGAGGGGGCGTCTCAAACGGACGTAAGCGACGGAGATTTACCTCGAGGCCCGGCCTGGACGAAAAGGTCACAACCTCTCTGGGTAGCTGCACCTCAACCTGAGGGTTTAACCCTACTTAGTGTTCAATAGTGACCTTTTCTTGGGGTTTGACGTGCAGCCTTTACTGTAGAGAGCTGTGGGTCAGTGTCTGCCCGCATGAGGCCACGTTACGGCCTCAAGTAAAACCAGCTCAAACATAAGCGTGCTGCTCTTCACGCTTCACTCATCCCATATGTTTCCCACTGTTCATCCCTCACTCGGAGCACGGAGAAAAGGAAGAAAAAAAAACTGAAAGAGAGACTTGGAAATGTAAAATAAAAACAAAAGCCAGGGAATAACTGCAGGGGCTGGTAAACGAAGCATAAAGACCCCAAGTGACCGAGGGGAATTATTTGGCTCCATTAAGCAGGCATTAACATGAATTACTATCTAATTAAAATTAAACAGCTCATTAATAACTTTGCGGTGGGGCCTGAGTGTGGAAGTTCTCCTGTGTGTGTGTGTGTGTGTGTGTCTTGAGCACGTTGGGGTGTGTGTGTGCGTGTGCGTGTGCGCGTGTGTGTGTGTGTGTGTGTGTGTGTGTGTGTGTGTGTGTGTGTGTGTGTGTGTGTGTGTGTGTGTGTGTGTGTGTGTGTGTGTGTGTGTGTGTGTGAGAAAAAGAGAAGCTGTGTTGTTTCGTGGCCAATAGAGCAATCAAGTGGGATAAAACTAAGCAGCTGTCTCAAAGGAAAGATGGGGCCTGAGAGGAATACCACCACACACCAAAAAAGTACGTTCCTCTTCAAATAGTTTACTTTTTTCATTGTTTCCTTGTTCAGCAGAAACTAGCACCACTGTGGCTCAGAGGAGGATTGGTTGTATTATGTCCATCCATGTTGCTTTTTTGTCAAGTTTTCTTTATTCAAATGATGTTAAAATCAAGAAAAAACATTTGTTTTAATTTGTAAACTTGCTCAGTAAAGGAATTGTTCAGAATTTTGAATGTGGGGTTTGTCTCAGCTCCACCGGAATCTGGAAGATGCTTTTTCATGAACAGTTTCTGAATGGAAATGATGCCAATTTCAAGTCTAAAATTTCATTACCGTTTTAATAGATTCATTTGGAGAATTTTGACTTTTACAAGAATTAAGAACAGCCGTGTTGAAACCTGTGTGAAACACAAGTTAAAAAACAAACTATTTAAAGGGACTTTATGGAGTTTTGAATTTTTATGCTCGCGATTGCCCCCTCAGGCCAAAAGCATAACGGCAACTTCAATAGTAGGCTCGTGCACGAGGCGCGCATGCTGTACGTGCACACTCCTTAACGAAAATAACAGCTGAGACAGTTGTGTGTGTGTGTGTGTGTGTGTGTGTGTGTGTGTGTGTGTGTGTGTGTGTGTGTGTGTGTGTGTGTGTGTGTGTGTGTGTGTGTGTGTGTGTGTGTGTGGGGGGGGTGGGTGCGTGCGTGCGTGTGTGCGTGCGTGTGTGTGTATATATATATATATATATATATATATATATATATATGTGTGTGTGTGTGTGTGTGTGTGTGTGTGTGTGTGTGTGTGTGTGTGTGTGTGTGTGTGCGACACAATGAAACTGCACATTGGTGCAGTGGTTAGAGCTGTTGCCTTGCAGCAAGAAGGTCCTGGGATCTTTCTGCATGGAGTTTGCATGTTCTCTCTGTGCATGCGTGGGTTCGCTCCGGGTACTCTGGCTTCCTCCCACAGTCCAAAAACATGACTGTTAGGTTGATTGGTCTGTCTAAATTGTCCTTAGGTGTGTGTGTGTGTGTGTGTGTGCGTGAGTGCGTGGTGCGTGCGTGCGTGCGTGCGTGCGTGCGTGCGTGCGTGCGTGCGTGTGTGTGTGTGTGTGTGTGTGTGTGTGTGTGTGTGTGTGTGTGTGTGTGTGTGTGTGTGTGTGTGTGTGTGTGTGTGCATAATTGTTTGTCCTGTGTGTCTCTGTGTTGCCCTGCGATGGACTGGCTCTCTGTCCAGGGTGTACCCCGCCAGATTGCCTGTTGACTGCTGGAGATGGGCACCAGCCCCCGTGACCCCACATGGACAAGCCGGTTCAGAAAATGGATGGATGGATGGATGGATGGATGGATGGATGGATGGATGGATGGATGGATGGATGGATGGATGGATGGATGGATAGGCTAGAAAAGTCAGTAGTAATCCAATGTGATCTGTTTCCAAATGTACGCGGGTTGTGACCATAGGCTGCACAAAAATGGCCATAGTTGCTCACTCTGCATTGACTTTGAGCAGTGAGTAGACCCATCCAATATGGTGGTGATGCGGTTACTCTCTCCATCACCCAATGGAGCGTCTACCTATTTATGTCTATGGGATTTAGAGCCTTATTTCCTGATATCTGGACATGTGGCCTTTGACTGACTGACAGCAGTGCAACTCTACCACTGACTCCATTTGCTTTGCAACGCTGATGTTTTATCTCCACAAATATCACAAGCCAGATTTAGTGGAGTTGCTAATGCTAACGGTTAGCTTCTACAGAAATAATAAATTTCACTGAAGGGTTTTTCAGTGAAGATGACCTTTAAAAATTGTTTTGTATCACTATTTAAAAATGGTAACATTTTGACTGAAATGGTCTTGCATATTATTGTTTAGCTCCCAACAGTGAATGAGGGAAAGCGTAAATATTTTTTTCAAACTTGCTGCACCTGCTGCCCAATGTTCAAATCCATCAGAAACTAACTTCAAAAAACTGAACTAGCCTTTTCAACGTTAATGTCTATTAAATGTAATTATTACTAATAATTAATTATAACTAACATGTTTAGACTGTTTCACATCTTTATAGCAGCTTCAGATGGAGACAGAGGGACACCAGAATTGAGGTCTTCTTCAGGACACCCTTACGTCTAAAGAAACTGTCTTCAGACTATGACGATATTGTCAAGCTTAAGACCAGAGGGTCGGGGATAAAACAGTGAAGTTAGCTTTCAGCATAATAATTCAAAAATGGAAGATTTTGCTCCATTTTATCTACAGGAACACATTAAAACACTGTGGCCATTCACTATTTATGAACTGATCGTTGATATCCCAGGTGACATGCATAGGTGGGGCCCACATGGATACATATGGGCGAACCATATGGGTGCCAAAAAGGTTTTTACGTGGTTTCCATGGTGGTCCCACAGGAGTTTGCCCACATACATTTTTGCCCAAGTAAGATTTAATGGGCCCTACATGGGTTTTCCGAGGGACCGGGATTGTTTTACTCATAGTGGGCAAATGAGGCCATCATGGAAACTAGGGATGTCCCATTCCGATATTGATATCCGAAGTAATTCGATATTGGCCCAAAAACAGTGAATCGGATTATCTCGGACGGCATCAAAAGTCTCCAATATAATCAGTCCGTTAAGTTTCACATTTTTGCAACCAACGGTTAAGAAAACAATAGTCATGTGTTTACTGTTATTGGTTTTTCTTCTCCGATTGAGTAATATCACCTCATTACGCCTTTCATACATTCCACGTTACAAAATAGGTAAAAGTATGATTTGTGCTGATATGTATCAGATTGATACCGGTATTGGTTAATACTGAAGGCAGCAATATCGGTATCGTATCAGAAGTGGAAAAGTTGTATCGGGACATCCCTAATGGAAACCACAGACGAAACCTGTTGGCACCCATACTATTTGCCCATATATATCCATATGGGGCCCACCTATGCGTGCTGGCTGGGAGGTTTCAGAAATCACAAACTACATTTTAAAGATTCTATTTTAGTATCAAATAATATAAGTTGAAAAACGTCTGGTTTAAAAAGTTTGAGTACTGATCAAAGATGGACCAGATGGTCAAAATCCACTGGACTTGTTTCTAAGCTGCGTGCTGAATCCAGAACATGAGCATTGTGGCTTCTAAGACTTTTTTCCTGATGCCTGGTGATTTTCTATTTAAAGTCCGACATCTGCGGCTGTATGGTCTGAATCTAAAGATGTTATCCTGAGACACGAAGGACACCCTAAAACTCACACCTTACTAGAAACCATTAAAATCACAACATGCTGTGAAAATGCTTTAATGGAACAAATGAAGTAAACATTACACAGGCATTTACACTCATGCACACCAACACGTAGTAGTGTGTGACAGTGTGTGTGTGAGTGACGCTGACTCACTCCAGCAGCTTCCGGTCACGGCCTTCATGCTGGGGAGCAGCTCTGTGCTGCAGGATCTGTCAGGAGAGAAGAAAACAAGAACAGAAGGACGTCTGGGTCTCCTATTAAGTCAAACCAGTTAAAGTTTTTAGAGGATAAAATGTTTGTCACTGCAAAGTTAAGATGGGACACTGAGCAGAACGCAGAAGGACAATTCTGCTATATCTTTAATTTGTTTTCTGGTTTTCTTAAAAATGCAGCTTTGGCTGTGTGAAACTAAAAACTTCGGAGCCTCAAACAAGATGTGCAAACCTCCAAGTTTTGTGCATTGATAATAGAACCCATCACCTAAATCCACAAGACAGTCCAGAGCAGAAACTCAACACAGACGTAATGCAGATAGTCCTCAAAGATCAAGAGAGAACGACGGCGAGGGAGGGATTTGGAGTTAGGCTTCAAATGTATGCCAGTGCATGCATCCAGCACATCCCTCCACCTCCCACTACCGCTCCCTTCTTGTGGCCAGGAGCTGTTCCCACTACCGGCTCCCTTCTTGTGGCCAGGAGCTGTTTACCTCTCTATCAGCAGCAGTCTCTGAAAGCAGGGACCCCATCCATATTCACCGGTCTCAAATTCCTCTGCTTATCTCCCCCCCCGCCCCAACCCTTGAAAAACCTCCTTGTGTTCCTCTCTGCACATACATACATACATAAACACGTCTTTATGGAGGCAAGAGGCAAGCGCGCTGGGCAAGAAGGAGGGGGTCAGGGATAAGAATCACCTTGAATTCAAAGCAGAGGATTGTGGGCGCGCGGACATGCAGGCAAGCCGGCTGCTGAGACTTGACACACAAACCTGCTAGACAGGTAGATGGAGGCTTAGGTAAGCGGGTGCAGATTTGTGCACCGGGGGGCGATTAGAGCATCAGAGGATTTGGAAAAGCGACATGTTGGTTGTAAAATCATGTGCTGTCAGGTGATACATGGGTACATGTGCAGAGTTGTTTGTCGATGGATTGTTTTGTTGCATTTAAAGCAACACTAAAGAGCACTTTAAGCTAGTGCTTTCAAACTGGTTTCAGTGGTTCTTGAGCCAGAAATGTATGAAACCTCACATTGGACAGGACTATGTAGCTCTCTGCTGACCAGAAACCGGAAGTAAAAGTTAGACAGGAATGTCTTTGGGAGAAAGCAAAGAGCTAAAACCAGAGAGATCATTGATGCCATCCTACACTTGTCTGCATGGGCGATGCCATGCAGTACTTGGGGTTGCTACAGCAATGGCAAGATTCTGTCAAGCAACGGCTTAGCAACCCCGATTTTTGACACCAACCCGTTGTTCAGTCCACGCTAAAGGAGAACAGTAATTCCTTACACTCACTCTGCAACTGTAAAGCTACTGAAGGGAAATAATCCTGGTACCGTTCCTGTTAGTTTGATGGAGCTAAAAGAGGGTAAAAATCAAGGACTGATGGTGACCTGGCCTTGTTGCTACTGGACAATTTTGTCCAACAGTGTGGATTATTTAACTTTGTGTCTTATTTTGGTATCAGTTGGCTCATGCTAGCGTTAGTAGTCATTGTTAGCGCTAGTTGGTAACAAGAGTTGTAGTTTCGCTTTCAACCAGTAGGGGGAGAAGTGGGGAATTTGTGAAAGGAATAATATTTAAATGTTTTCAGCTGAAAAAAAAGGCTAATCTCAAGTGAGTTTCGAAGTTCTTGGCAAATCTAATTGGATTAGCTGTTATTCCCAACATGGAGATTTTTATGAAGTGGTCCAATCACTTGTGATGGATGCTGCTTTGAAAAGGAAGGAGAGCAGGAGCCTGGCTGATGAGCACTGGAAGTGCAAGTGAAGGCTCAAAGTGAAGCAGACGCTCATGGAGCAGGGTGGTGGTGGGAGGGGATGTGGATGCGTTGTTTTGGGATTGAAGTTGGGAACTCTCTCCTCTACTAATTGCGCGCCCGCACTTTCATGAATATTCATTCTGAGGCGTTCAGACCCCGCCTAATTAGCCGAGAGTTAGAGGAAGAAACTCGCACCTTTTACCACCAGAGAAGCGTTTTCCTCAACACCTCCCTCCCTCCCTCCCTCTTGGCATTCTCAGGGGGATGCTAGCAGAGGAGCCCAAGTTCATTAGCCAAAAAAAAAAAGAAAAGAAAAATATGGTTACCTGAAAAGCATGTGACGATTTACTTCAGAATATCGGCAAACATAGGCGCTTCTTCTTCTTCTTCCTGAAACTGCATATTTAGCGCCTATTACGCACGTCTGTCAAAAAAGGAAACAAAACTACAATTACGTGGTTGAAAGGTGCAGATGTGAAAGCCCCATCACAAATACGCCTCCATGGAATTCACCAGGACTTTTATTAAACAAAGAAATGCTTGGAGTGTGTTTTCTATCACTTAAAATAAGTTTTCAAAATTAAACGTGCGCTTTTACAACTTAGAAAGTGAACAAGAACAATGAAAGAATTGTTTTATTTTCATAAAACAGTTTAATTATTTAATGGTTTCAAGAAAATCTTGAAATCATAAAAAACGTGTAAATAAAGCGCAAAACTGACCCCAAAGCAAAGTGACCGGAAGAACTTGATTGTGTGTATTTGTAGCTGCTTTTTAATAATACAGAATTTGGACAAACCTGCAGCCTTATTGCTGTTAGTTTATTTTTTCACAGAAAAATGTATTTTTCACCAACAGCACTTTATGAATGTGTCGCAATGCCCCCCCCCCCCCCCCCAAAAAAAAAAGAAACGCAGAAAGTGAAGAATAAATCGGATCATTATGACGTCACCGCGACACAAAGACTACTTTCTAGTCTAGGAGGTCGCCCAACTTCCTCGACAACTCATCTCCGCGTTTCCTCCTCAGAGTGATTCGTAATTTTATCCTTTATTAACTCTTATTTTTAAACACATCATCGTTTCTAGCCACTCCGCCGTTCACAGCTAACTTCTGTGGGATCCCTTTCTTCGAGCGCAACCATGGAAACCCAGTGCGTCCTGGCAAAAATGCACCTCTGCGCGCACAAGGCCCCGTTCTTTTACAGAAAAGGGCAAAGCATCTGGAGCTTTCTTCAGCAGCTCGTTGCTCGCATGGCGAAGCAACAAGACGCGGGTCTGTGTGGCAGAGACCACTTCTTTTTATAGACTAGGAGAGGTGGGGTAGGGGTGAGGGGGTAGGAGTGAAAGGGCGAGCGCATCTTCATTAACTGCGCAGAACTCCGGTCCCTCACAGCAGCGACACGCAGCCGCTGCAGGGGTCTCCCTGGGGGGGTGTACGCACTAAAATGTGTCTTATTGTTTTACAAATGATTGATTTTAGCCATTTTTTACCTTAAATTCACAAAATAAACGCGTTATGGAAAGTGCTGCATAGATTTCTAGACTTGTCCAAAGAAATTTAACACGCACCTCCAGGATAACCCAATGAAACATGAAAAAGTCTGGAAAGAAAAGTGTCCTCCACTGCTTCAGATATATGGATGAAGGAAAGGGGGGCCACGCCTTTAAGGAGATGATGACGAGCACCTGTGACCCGGACACACACACACACACACACACACACACACACACACACACACACACACACACACACCGAGAGTTACAGCAACAAGGACGCACGAGACAACTTACCTTTTAGTCTCGGATTAAAAATGAACGGCTGAGTTCAATCCTGCAGAATAAAAAGAGAATAGTCGCGCGCGCGCAGGATCACAACAAACAGACACGCGGCTGAGATATAAAAAAAGACAAAACACTGCTTTCAGGTAAATGATTAAAATGAGACTGTTGCGCCGGGGAAAAATAAACCTTTCCTCTCCAAAATAAAAAAAGAAGAGAAAACGGGCTCGTGTTTCAGAGAGGAGCGGAACATGCGCCTGATTGCGGAGTTTTAGGCGAATGGAACGGGAGAGATGTAAGATTTGTTTAAAGCCCCGCATTTCCATTTAAGAACGTGATTGTGTTTGCAAAGATCCCTTTCAATCTTCACACCACCTCCACCACCCACCCCCCTCCTCTCTCTACCCCCTCAGCGTCTCAGAGGCTGCTTTGCAATTCATAGAATTGGTAATTTGCTATTGGGACAAAACGTGAAGGGAAAAATAATCAGATCAACCGGGAGAAGTAGTGAGGAAGAAGCCAGGAGGAGGAAACACAAGGTTTCTCTCTTCAAGTTGCTACTTAGAGGTAAAAAAAATACATATGGTGGCTTTAAATAGAAAATTCCAGGTTTAAATGAACTAAACAGACATTCTAACGCTTTATGACATTTAGATAATTACGAAACACTTATTTTATTAGTCTTAATACTGTCTATTTTTTAAAATAAGGTAAATACATAATGGATCACATGTCACCTGTGTCACCTGCGCAGGTACAGGAAGGATGGAAGAGAGGGGGAGATGGGGAAAGCGCATCTTGGCCTTTCAGAACTAAGTGGGTGGTGATGATGAGATCATACAACATTGAAAATTGCCCGAGACAATACAAATAAATGAGACGTGGATGCTTTGGAAATGAACAAATGCTCTCAGATTTGTCACGCATCTTCTAAAGGCTTCAAAGGCGCGTAAAGACGCGCCTCTTGGTGTGCGGGAGGCTGCGGAGCCGCGCCTCATCATCCATTTCAAATCAGGAGCGCCATAATCATCAGTGACCTATACGCGCGAGCTCTTGTGTGTGTGTGCGTTTGATGCATATTGTGTGTGTGTGTGTGTGTGTGGGGGGGGTGGGTGGGGGGGGCTAAAACCCCTTCAAAAAGATCTCCGTACTCCCCCACGTGGTTATTTGCAAAACAACCGATCCAATCCAGGGGAATCTAATCAGACCCGCTGCTGCTCACCTCTTAAATTAGAAGGAAGAGTGTGAGCGGATACACACAACAAGAGGCGTCCTGTTAAAAACTCAAAGAGACATTTCATAAGTAGAACATATGTTTTTTTTTCTATAACATATGTAAGAAGGACCTCTATCATCCATCCTGCGCGCAAAATGTGCCGCACGCTGCTGCGCGAGAGGCTGTGCCTATCGAGTCTCTCCCCAGTGGGTTCGGATCGGAGAGGAGCCAATACTAGCGGAGGGGGGCGTGTCCTCGCGCTACGCCGAGACCTCCCAAAGCAGGTTGTTGCGTTTTTGGCTCTAAAGCCTGGAGACCTCCGAAGCGCTCGTCAGTTTTCCAAGTTGGAGCCATGGCGACAACAGCTCAGTATATTCCGAGGAATAACTCCTTACCGTCCAACCCGCTCATGCATCCGGATTCGGATAGGATGCACCAGGGGACGACCTACAGAGAGGTGCAGAAAATGATGCACCACGAGTACTTGCAAGGGCTTGCAGCGACCAACACGGGGCACCCTATGAGCCTGACGCACCACCAGTGGCTGCCCACCTCCAACACCGACTGGTCCAGCGGCACCCACATCGGGCAGCAGGAGCACAAAGCCAGCGTGCAGGCGAGCAGGGACGACTTGAGCAGCGGCTTCCACCACAGATCCCACCTGGTGCACCAGCAGACGCAAAGCACGCACCACGGCTCGTGGGCGCCCGCCACGACGCACCACTTGTCCCCGCTGTCCCCTGCGTCCAACGGCCACCAGTCTCTGGTCTACTCCCAGCCTGGATACACAAACCTTAACGCCATGCTGAGTCCCCAGCCCGGCTCCCTGCATCACGGCATGCGGGACCCGCTCCACGACGACACGGGCAGCCACGACAACCAGATGGAGTCGCCCCAGCAGGCTTTCAGCCACCATCAGGACCACTCGGACGAGGACGCGCCCAGCTCCGACGACCTAGAGCAGTTCGCCAAGCAGTTCAAGCAGCGGCGGATCAAACTGGGCTTTACGCAGGCGGACGTGGGCTTGGCCTTGGGCACCCTGTATGGAAACGTCTTTTCTCAGACCACTATCTGCAGGTTTGAGGCGCTGCAGCTCAGCTTCAAGAACATGTGCAAACTTAAGCCGCTCCTTAACAAGTGGCTGGAGGAGACAGACTCCAACACGGGCAGTCCCACCAATTTGGACAAGATTGCTGCGCAGGGCAGGAAACGAAAGAAGAGGACCTCCATTGAAGTGGGGGTGAAAGGAGCGCTGGAAAACCATTTCTTAAAATGCCCAAAGCCATCTGCTCACGAAATCAGCACTTTAGCCGGCACTCTGCAGTTGGAGAAAGAGGTTGTCCGCGTTTGGTTTTGCAACAGGAGACAAAAAGAGAAAAGAATGACGCCAGTGGGGGTCCCTCACCCGAATATGGAGGACGTATATTCCCAAGCAGAGACCCCTCCTCTACACCGCACACTACAGAGTCCTGTGCAGTAACTGTTTTCATGAACAATCCCATTATTTAGAGACGAGGAGGGGAAAGAGACAGTGGAGTTTACAGTATTTAAGTTTGGCTTTTTGTTTGTTTTCCTGAGAGAGAGCGAGAGAGCGAGAGAGAGAGAGAGAGAGAGAGAGCGAGAGAGAGAGAGAGAGAGAGAGAGAGAGAGAGAGAGAGAGAGAGAGAGAGAGAGAGAGAGAGAGAGAGCGAGAGAGAGAGCGAGAGAGAGAGAGAGAGAGAGAGAGAGAGAGAGAGAGAGAGAGAGAGAGAGAGAGAGAGAGAGAGAGAGAGAGAGAGAGAGAGAGACGCGAGGAAAGTTGAACAGATCAGTTTTGCCTTTTTAGTATTTGGAGAACTCAGTAGATGACAGAAGGGGGAAATGTTGAGAAACAAAGATAATAAAATAATAATAATAAAAAAAACGCTGATTCCATTTAAAGCAAGGCAAAGATCTTTATTTACCAAAATGTGATGTGGAGATGTGAGGTAAACATTGCTGCAGCTCGTCTCCTGGTGCACCAGGAGCTCACCAGGATCAGGTGCAGCCTGCAGAAACACACAGTCCACACTGAATGAACCTTTTTTTAATTTCAGGCTCAAACCGACTAACCTGATTTCTGAATATTACATACTTTATGATATCAAGTGTGATGTTTTGCCTTGGAAATCCTTCTCTTCTGGTTATTTTTTACTGTAACTCATCAGATCAACATTTGTTTCCTTTTGTTTAGAGTTAATGATGGAAGTTAAGGCACCTGAAAGGTAAAACAATAAAAAAAATTATGTTCATTTCAGTTATTATGTCCAGTGCAGGACGGGTGAGTTCTGATTGGATGCCTTAAAATAAAGTTTCTGCAGCTGACAAAGTCGAAATTTGCAACCAGGACGCTGCAGAAGCGACTCTAAATTCGCATTTGTTAAATTAAATTTGCATGGAGCACTTATTCATTTTTTTATTGTATTATTATAATTTTCTCATCTGTCGGATCTCCAACAGAAAAAAAGGCCTAAATGTTTACAGGTTTTTACCACAACGCGCTGTCAGCTCAGCTTCCTGCCTGTTAATCTCTGCTATTTCCAACGTTTCAAAGATCAAATGAAAAGTAATGATAACTCAGGTAACTCGGTGCCCCCGCTGCGGAACATCACGCCTGTAACACCATCACGTGTTCCTCTGTTTCCGTTCCTTTATGCTTTTTCTTTGTATTATAAATAAAACAGGCCGACGTGGGAGAAAAGAAAAACGACTCGTTTCCTGGTGAGTAAAGGCAGGAGTTCTCTTTATAAATATATTTATTTTGATTTTTGGTGCAGGAAATCTGAAAAATCTCATGCGTTTTGTGTCATTTCTCAATGTTGGACCAGTTTAAAAAAATAATAATTAAAACAAATAAAAACATTCGGCAGTGCTGTTCAATACAGATGAGGGTTTTTTTCTTTTAAAGAAAAAAAAATAATGATAATAAATAAAAAAAATGAACGTTTTACAGAAAATGTTGCGAATCTGTAAATATGTCCAATATGTAAACTTGTATTTGTTCCGACATATTGTTTTTGTTTGTTTGTTTGTTGATTTTTTTTCTCTCTTTCTTTCTATTCCGGGCAGTTTTGTACACTTACTAATTCCAAGAAGATATTTTAATATTTCATTTATGAATCTGACCATTTATATATATATAAATATTTATTTCTTGAAAGTGTTTGGAGCTTTTTTTGTTTAGCTCTGTCGATGGTTTTGTTGCAGTGGATTTAAAAATGTTTTTGTTTCCCTTTCTCCGTTTTGTTTACTACATTGGTTGTATGTTGACTGCTTATTGTTGACTGCCAAGTCACATTTATATTTATGTTATAGTAATATTTTATTACTTACATAAAACATATATACAAGAGGTGGTCTTTTGTCTTCATTTAGATCCGAATCGTTCATGTTTTTGTTTGTTTGTTTGTTTTTGTTTATTGTTGCATCAGATGAAGCTGGTGGTGGTGGAGTTGGGAGCAGGTCAGTGCGTCGGTCCGGGAGGCGCAGTGCGCACCGGCTGATCCGTTTAAACAGCGCAGCACCGACCCGTTATGTAACAAATCACCGTTTAAAACAGGAGCTGACACCTCAGGCCCTTCCTGCTCTGGGACATGTTCACATAATAATAATAATAATAATAATAATAATAATAATAATAATAATAAAGAATGTCCTTTCTTCTTTGTCATTTTTGTTTTGTAAAAAAACTTTTTAAATGCCGTTAAAATCAACACGAGCTTCTTCTCCCGATAATAAATGATGACAGAGAATTATGAAAACATCTTTGATGGACAAAAAATCCTGCAGGCGAAAAAAGAAAAAAAGAATTCCATTCTTTAACAAAAATGTAAAAAATGGAAAATATAAAGCATCAATATAAAGAAAAGGTCTAAAGATGAACGAAATCTGAGCCACGATGACACTTATATGTTGTTATTATTATTATTATTATTATTATCATAATCGTTTCATATATGATCATTAAACAGGATCTTTAGGCCCAAACTCGACTAAAATCACAGGCCAGTGGGGCTTCCAGCACATTTCTCCAAATCAACACGCATGGCTGCACTTTTCACGCTGCCTTTGCAGCCTTCTCCCTCCAGATTTACAATTTTCCCAGTAAAAATTTTAAAAAACTTTAAGCATTTTTCAACATTCTGACATTTCAGGAGAGATTTAGTTCACATCGGTGCATTTCTAGTTCTGGCGCACACTTCTGCTCAACTTTTTATATTTTCAGTCAGAATGTGTGGTAATCAAACCGGGGAACTGCACGAACCTCCTTTTATTCCTTGTTTCGTTTGGTTAGATGCAATGTTTTTGTGCGCTTGTGAAGCAAACCCTTCCATGCCTTCATGTTGTCTTAATTTCGGTCATTTAGATTCATTTAAACTTTATATTTTGCAGCTTTATTGTTTATCGGAAACATTATGAAACAGTGAAACTTATAAAGCCTAAATTGGGTTTCTCGTGCGCGCATGAAGCACCTGATGGTCAAACTCTTATAAAAAAAAATGGTCACAATCCCAGTGGCAGACAACAGCGAGACACACGCGCCATCTGCTGGTTACAAAGAGGTACTGCATCACCAGAACTCAAAAGTTCTGTGAACAAGAATGAAGCATCGATCACCTGCTCATGTTTACATACAAAAACTTCATTTTTTAGGGAACAAATAAACTCATAAATGTAAAATCTGCACAGTTTCATATGTTCACGCATTTGGCAGATGCATTTTTTTAATCCAAAGCAACTTGCACTACGGGTGAGGTGCCTGTGCAGCAGAATGACTACTTCCTGAGCCCCCACCGCCACATATAATGTCCTCTCACTCCCAACATCTAAACTGTCTGATTACTTCCTAAACTTTAGATAAAGGTGATTAAACATGACCAAACCAGATATTCATCATGTTTAAGAAAGGACTCTCATCTCTCTGAGCTTACGGGAGAGCAACAAGGCCTGCAGAGTAGAAATTATGGTGACTCACACCAACTGTTATTCCTTGATGACACGCAATTTCCATTCTGCACTGTATGAAAGCACACAAGCCCCATTATGCCTTGGAATCAATAATACATGAGCAGAACTCCTCACAAAACCCTTCAGTTTAACCCCAGTTCCTCTTCTACATCGGGCCCTCGGCAGCTCTTCGCTCCAGCTTCTCCAGCGAACACCGATGCCTCCTTCATCGGGGAAGTATCATCACACACAGAAGATGTGGATTAGTGCTGATTAGCAGGGATTATGGCTGGTTAATGGTGGGAAAATACATTAGGAACCATCGGATCTGGAAGGGGGAGGGGGGATTTCACTCACACTAGCGGATTTGCATTGATCCACAGCAAATGAATGAGGATTAGCAGCATCAACCTATCTGCCAACAGATAAATAACATTAAGCTTATTATACGCCGACGCTTGTTATTAATGACATTACAAACACCACCACAACGCTGGCAATTATGGAAATAATAGGAGCAGCTGAATAATGTACTTTAGGTTCTTAAGAGTCAAAATTGTCCTCATGTAGAAATGAGAAGATAATGCCAAAGAGTCATGATCAGATTTTTGGCACGCTGCTGGGTTTCGGATTCCAGTTTTTCTTTAAGGATAGATTTTAACAGGTTGCAGAAATTATTTTAAAAGTCCAATAAGGATTTAAAAAGAGGCTTTCACCTGGTGATGAAAGGGTGTTGTTGTTGTTGTTATGTATTCTTATCTCATTCTAATTTTGTCAACTATCACTGGAAATCATAAGTCTAGAAATCTAGATAAACCATTGCTGTTCCTCTCCAGATAGGTTGTAGTCATTGTAGGTCTACCTCACTAGGTCTACCATCGGCCTGAACAATTTTAGGTTGGGCCAATCACAGCGCTATATATTCGTAGAGGAAAGGTGGGCGGGCTTAGCACCAAAGCTGCAACGGTAAAAAACTACAAAGATGGCGCCGGCTCGGGAACGGCTCTCGATTGGAACGACTTTGGTATCAACTTTGTGTGATTGAGACTTGGGCAGATACAGATACATAACGCAACAATCCAGAGAGTTCTTTTAATCTGACGAATGTATCGCAACTTAAGGTGATAATGTATAGTTTCTACCATTAATGTCTGGAAATATCCATTTAAATGTTGTAAATTAATCAAAAGATGCTCAGTTTTTGAAGAATAATGGCAGTTTCATAACATATAGTCTTAAAAATCAGTTCTAAAATACACGGGAAGTCCCTGGGCGACGCCATGTTGGATGCCATGTTTCCTTCTACGGAAGCCTCTGAGGACAGAATGCATTTACTGATTTGTAACAAATGGTTACAAAACTTTCATCATTAATAAACGTTGTTGCTTTACACATTTACCTCTTTACTCGTTGACAGTGATGAAAGGGAATCGGATGATCTTGTTATTTTGCTGGAGGTTGCACTCTCAGGGATTTTTGACCCTAATGGCCATCCGTTGGTAAGGTCTTATTTGAACACAAAATTAATGCTTGCTTGCAATGGTTTAGGTATGTACTGCCCCTCATCGCCAGGGAAACTACACACTCTCTTTAAGTCATTCTTATCATTTCCGTATTTTCGGCCAAAAGCAACACTTCTCGAAAGCTCAGAGAGATGAGAGTCCTTTCTTAAACATGATGAATATCTGAGAACACTTCAAATATGTTTTTATCCCCCCATCATATCATATGCTGCTACAAACCCTTATTCCATTACACAATACTTTAATCACTTTTGTGAATCGCCTGCACCGACGGCTTAATTACTTATTGACAAGGATGCAGTCATGTATTTATTTGTTGAGATATGCGATTGTTTGTTTTGCACTATCCTACAGGGTACTACTGTAGATCATTTTTTACTGTATATATTGTATATCATATTTCTATTTCACCTGTTACTTTGTCTCTCCTGCTACTTTGAGCATGTACATGACACAAGAATTTCCCTCGGGATAAATAAAGTTGTTCTTATCTTATCTTATCTTATCTTATCTTATCTTATCTTATCTTATTTACAAACGTGCACCTCCAACTGGCCTTCAGTACTAAAACATAGTTTTACATTTATTATGTTGTGTATTCATATACGTATATCTCATATATATCTTTTATTGACACCATGTGTGTTTTGATTGTACCCACAATCTCGGCTCTCTATTCGGACTGAGTTCTCTACCGTTGCCCCTAGCGGAAAGCTCCAGTACTACTTGTAGTGCCGTGCAGCAGCAAGTATGTAACAAAGACGCAGTTTGCCGCCTTCGCCAACGTGAGGTTAAAAAGCATGTTTATTCCAACCCTTACTTGTCCACAAGAAAGGTCGCCAACTCTACATCAGTCCACATATGTCCTCAAACCATGGACGTAATTTTCACTTTAGCGTGTGTGTGTGTGTGTGTGTGTGTGTGTGTGTGTGTGTGTGTGTTGGGGGGGGGTTATGTCTTTACAGTATGCTCTAATGGGAAACCGGCTTCAACACAAACGGTTGTTTTCCGCTTGGTCCTAGAGCTCAACCAGTGTTAATTTAATATAGCGCAATATTTTTTTTTGGGATGGTAAAAAGTGCAGGGGTCAAAACTTGTCTTTGGAAAAAGTGGGGGGGGGGGACATGTCTCAAACCCCCCCCCACCCCACCCCCACCCAAATATTACGTCCATGCCTCAAACACTCGCACACGCTCTGTGATTGACATCTAACGTCCAACGCTATTGGTTGATGTTTAACTGCAGTCAGTTCAAACTGCATGGGGCCACTCGCAATTGGGAGGAGCTTAGCAAAAAAAAAATTACTATTACCTACATTATATCACAGAAAATGGTAAAATTTTCACTTTTACATATTTCTAAAAAAAAAATCAAACTGAATTGTAAAAAGAAGGAAACCTCAAGATTGCAGCTTTAAGTCATTATTTTAAAAAAAGGCTGTCTTCCACTTCTTCTTCAATGGTGTATGGTAGACTGCCCCATTGACTGATTTCCCTAGCAATAAATTTGTCATGTTGTTCTTTGCTCTGATTGGTCCTAGCGCTGTCCAATTGTGTGCAGAGACAGTTTGAAAGACAACCATAAATTTCATCCCATGACTAAGATCTGTCTCAGAGTTGTGGCCAGACTATATTCACATTTATAGGAAGTGTTTTCCAGACTAGCAGAGACAAATGGGTAACTTTAAAGTGGTCTGGACATAAAATTATCCAGCAACAAGTAAAGGAAGACAGCAGCCTTCCCTCCTTTTTTTACCACCTCTTCCTCCCACTGAGATCCTCTCTCCTTTTCTTACCGTTTATGTAATAAATACTCCCCTTCCACAGCAAGTGGCAGCGGAAGGAGGGGTTGGAGACTGGAAAAAGAACAGAATAATGCATTT